GCTCTCTTCCACCCTGGGAGAGACCATCTCTTATCAGCAGGTATAGTGACTCATTCTCCTGTATATCTTAAAGGAGACTTTATTATTTGGGGGATAGAGTACAAGGCAAGGAGAGCTCTAGCAATGTGTCAGGTACTATACACATTCTGGACTAGCATAACAAAAAACAACTTCTTCCCCCAGTGCAATTTCAAAGCTTGGAATAACACCCCACTTATCACATTATTCATAACAGGGACTATGATTCACATGAATGGAACAAAATGGAATTATCAAAAATAGATTCTGTAGATCAATCTGTAGCAAAAAATATCTTCTGACTTAGCTGTGAATTGGCCATAAACACAGGAAGAACTATTCCATTTAAGTTCTGCCACCTACTCCTCCACTTTGACTGAATAACCTTTATTCTTTCATAGCAGATCATTATAGGTCAATGTATTAACAAAATAGGATTTTTTTGGTTTTTTGGTTCTAGGGATTAATATCAGGATTTTATGCATGCTAAACATAGAAAACAGGTTTTAACATAAAATGTTCTACTTTTTTCTTGTGGTCCTTTTGAAATGAGACTTAATCTTACTTTTTTGAGATTTAAAAACTTACTTTGTGATTTAGTTGATCACCTTAAGTTAGCATTTTTCATTTTATACTTTGTATATGAACCCATTGTTTTTAGTAACAATGGTTATAACAACCTTAGAGTTGGTTAGAAGGGAATCATATTTAATGGAATCTTAGTTCCTGCAGAGCTATTATTTGTTTCAAATACAAACACACAATTTTCAGTCCTTTTACCTGGACAGTTTTTCTCCTTCCATTGATTTCTTGCCTCCCTAAGAGTAATGCATCCTTTTCAGGGAACAGTAAACAGGAAAAGGCAGTTTCAGTTTGATAACTACTATTTTATTATGTATGCACATATAGTATTTGGTGCCTAATGTTCAAGGGATTGTTCAGGGCTTTAAGGGACCTAAAGATGAGAATGTCAGTTGCTTTCAACTGTAGCAGTAACAAAGAAATACAAAGACATTTCTATTTTAAAGACATCATTAAAAAAAAGACACGTATTCTTTTACTAAAATGATATCGAAAGGAAGGCAGTCCATGGTTGGTACAGTACCTCGTAATGTCTTTTATCTCTCTGCTTAACTATTATCAATGGGTTGGCTTTTTTCTTCAGGATTATATATGAATGCTCATAAGATCTGTATTATCTATAAATATCATGTCCTCATATAGTCATATCCAATGGAGAAAAATAGCAGGCTTTCTGCAACTCATCAAGGGAGAAAATTTATCTTAGAGTCTCTAGTGCATTTTCTCCACTTCCCACTCACAGATGGAGTCAGTGCCTGGAAAAAGATCTGTGTGTATATGTGTGTGTGTTGTATTGTTGGATAGGCAACTAATAGAGTCTGCCTCTAAAAATAAAGTGAAATTGCTATGTTCCTTCAAAAAACTTTGTGCATCTCAAGGCAGAAAAGAAGGTTTCTTTAGTGAACTGTTTATGCTCCCTCCCCTACAAATTCATATATGGAAACCCTAATCCCTAGTGTGATGGTACTAGGACTTGGGTCTTTGGGGAGGAGCCATCACAAATACAATTAGTGACCTTATAAAATAGAGCCTGGAAAGCTCTCTGTCTTTTTTCTGTCTTATAAGGACACAGTGAGGTGATGGTTGTGTATGAATCAGGAAACAACCCTCACAAGACATCCAGTTCACTGGCACCTTGACTCTGGACATTCCAGTTTCCACATCTGTGAGGAATAAATATTTGTTGTTTAAGACATCAAGACTGGTATACTGCTGTAGCAGCCCAAACAGATTAAGACAATTTCTTTAAATGACAAGAAAGAGTAAGATGAAGGAGGGAGGGGGAAAAGTGTTGAAGGCAGAGAAGTGTATGTAGGAAATTATGGAGGTGAAAATGATCGTGAAAGTGCTCTTGAAAACAGCCTCTGTAATTTCTTCTCCTCTTCAGTCATTTCTCCATTTGCTGAACCTCATATTACTTAATATTGCAGCTTTAGACCATAAGGTGTCTGAAGGCAAAATGCAACACTTACATAGAGTGCCTGATAAATACAAAGGTAGCTTCAGAGGAGAATGAGGTTGTATACGTGTCAATGCAAAATATATATTTAGCTGGGCATGGTAGTACATGCCTGTAGTCTCAGCTACTTGGGATTCTAGTACTTCATTAGTGGGGAATCACATGAGTCCAGAGGTTCAGGGAAGCTAGGCAACACAGCATGACCCAGACTCCTAAACAGAAAAAAAAAAAAAAGCAAGCAAGCTTCCATCTTTAAAACACTTGAGGCAAAAAGTAGATGACACACCATCCTTCTCTTACAAATAATAGGGAATAGCACCACCTGTCTGGGTGACGCAGAGACCAAAGAAGCAGGGAGGCACTGATTCACAAAGTTCTGGAGGAAGTACAAAGTAATTATAGTTCCAATCCTCAGATGTTACTTTAAAGGCTATTTCAGGAAGCACAATGAAAACTTGGTACCTGTCAAAGCAAAAAACTGCCACTTACTTTTGTTTGTAACAGCTTTTAAAAAATAGTTTCTTGGTATTGGCTGCTCTTTGTGTGTCAGAATTCTGGGTTACTGTTGCAGAAGGCTTACCAGACTTGATAAATTACTTATAAAATAAAATATTAAAAAACAAATGTCCATGTCATGATTCAGGTCCTTGCTATTCGTTTTAGAACCATGTTCTTGTTTGTTTGTTTGTTTGTTTGTTTTTTGAGACAGGGTCTCATTATGTAGTTCAGCCTGGCCTTGAACTCACTATGTAGCTCAGGCTGGTTTCAAACTTACAGGGATCCTCCTGACTCAGCCTCCTGAGTGCTGGGATTACAGACCTGTACCACCTCGGGCTAAGGTAGATCTATGTTCTAAAACTTTCTGCCACTTGGCTGAGAGGAACTAGAAGGGAGTAAATTTTTATAAAAAAGAAAATCTTAGGATATAGTTATATTCTTGATAGGTCAGAGTAAATGATATTTTAAGAATTTAAATTCTTCTCCTTTTTGGGGGGGGGTGTCTTCTTGAAATAGGGTCTCTCTATGCAGTTCGGGCTGGCCTTGAGCTCATTTTGTAGCCCAAACTGATTTTAACTCTGCAGTGATCCTCCTGCCTCAACCTTTTGAGTGCTGGGATTTCAGGTGTGCGCCACCACACTCAGCTTCCTTAATTTTTCTAAGTCAACAATTAATCCTTGGGTTTGAGAAGATACTTTTTTTGTGCTGTCATTTCTATAGCTAAGTAAATAATAACCCCTAAAAGATATATAAATATGTTCTGTGAATAAGATATTGTAGGATGCTATGTGTTTTGTGAATGAAAAGATCTGTTTATACAAACGTAAAAATTCATTTTTTGTTAACTTGGGAAACATTTTTTGATACCCATTTTTCGAAGGATCTTCTTCAAGGACCGAGTTTTCATTTTTGGGTGTTATCTCATAGTACAGTGAGGTGTGGCTGAAGTTACATGGATGCCAAATTCTGTAACTTGATGGTTCTTTTTCACTTTTGGTACTGGCCATTGAACACAGGACTTTCTAAGAAAAAAAATTTTCAATTATGAGTCCTCCTGCCTCAACCTTCCAGAGTACTGGGATTACAGGCATGCACTACCATGCCTGGTTTCATGGTTCTTTACTTTTGATCTTTTACTAACATACTTTTTAATATACTTTTAGATTTGCAGAAAAATTAAGCAACAGAGTTTTGACTTATTCCCTCTCCTTGCTTCCTTACCTGAACCTCTGCAGCCATTCAGTATATTTATTACAATTAATGAATCAGTATTGATACTCTGTTGCTAACTAACAGCCATACAATTCAGACTCACTTTGTTTTTGTCAGTGACCTCTTTGTTTTGGGATCTTATTCAAGTGAAAATTTATATTTAATTGTTCTCTTGTCATATTAATGTGTCATTTTAATTGTCCACACTATGCTTAGTTGTATGTCTCCTTAGATTCTTCTTGGCTGCGTCAGTCACAATTTTTTTTTTTTATTATGAACCACTGAAAATATGATTAAAGACCAGCAAGGTAGCACATGCCCGTAATCGCAGCATTCAGGAGGCTGAGGCAGGAGGACTGCCATGAGCCCAAGGCCAGTCTGGGATACACAGCAAGACCTGTCTCCAAAAAATACAAGTGTTCCCTCAGTTTCATCATCTGTGAAATGAAGGGTTTAGTTTACACGATGTCTCAATACATTTCTGGCAAAGTAAAAGGTGAGTATCATCTGGAGTTATCATCATCTGAAGAACATGGACTGATAAGGGAGGATCACTCCAGGGAAATGGATGAGTTTATCAATCAAGAGGCTGCAGAGGTTCAGGTGAGAAAAATAGGGTTCCACTTGATTGCTCTGTAGATTTTTGCAAGTCATTTCCTCCTTTGGGCTTCAGTTTCCTCTACAAAATGAGGAAGACCTTGCTTCTGGCAACTATGGAACTCCTGGGAGGGAACAGAGGAGAATGTCTGGCAGGAAACCTTGAGGAATTAAGATAAAACGGATAAAGTAGGTGATGGGCGGTCTGAGGAATTCGAGGCAGGGCTGAGGATTTAGGAAAAGAGGTACACCTATTCCAGGATTACACAACGCCACCAGTTCATTGCCCAATTCCGTCCACCTCCGTCCCAGCTCCGCCTCCTCCCCACTTTCCTTCTTGTCCTCTTCCCTCCTCCTCTCAGAATGAGTCGCGCCACACTTTGCATGGCGGCCACCATACGCCACTTTTCACAGCTCCATAGGCGCGCGCGCTCTCCTGCCTCGTCACTTCACTCCTGCCTCTACCTGCCCTCTTACTCTTAGGATTGGCTGATCGAGTAAGTGACGTAAGTGCTCCATTTTTCTACTTCTCTGTTATCCCTGCTCCACCTCCATTTTACTTCTGCAGACGCAAGCCGCAACCTAACATGCTCGGGTTTCGCCGAGGGGCTGACTAAGTTGGGTTGACCCAAAGGCCCCGGCGGGGGCGCGCACGTACACACGCACGCACGCCGGCGGCCGGCCAGGAGGCAGGCTCGAGCCCGGGCTCGCCCTGCGCCGTGCCAGAGCTCGCGCACTCAGCAGGTTGGGCTGCGGCGGTGGCAGCTGTGGGGCTGAGGCGCTGCGTGCTAAGCTCCCAGACGCAGCTGCGTCTGCGGCTCCGGCTCTGCCAGCCTTCGCCTTCCCTCGTCTCGGTGTCGGGTGCTGAGGACGGGAACCCCGAACGCACCCTTGGTTGCCTCTGACACCGCCTTCCCTTCCTTCCCATCCGTGGGCCTCGCTCGGTGGTAGGCGACTCTGCAGGGGACGGTGGCGACGGCTCCCTGTCTGTGGAGTCCTGCTGTCCTCCAGCCTCGCTCCTCCGTTCGTCCTGCAGGGGCCAGCAAAGCCCGGCGCCCTCCCTTCCTCTCCTGCCTCGTCCACCGGTGGGAGCAGTGTCTGTCCGGGAGGTCTCTGGGCTGAGGCGGCGGCAGCTCCTCCGGCTCCATCATGTCCGCGGGCGGAGACTTCGGGAATCCGCTGAGGAAATTTAAGCTGGTGTTCCTGGGGGAGCAGAGCGGTGAGTGAGCGGCTCCCCAGCTCCTGGCCGCCGGCCGCCGCTTCCCCGCACCGCCCCCAGTGCGGCCCTTCGGCTCGCCGCGGTTCCCCGCCGGCCTCGAATCAGCGCCGGGTTCCGCCCAGCCCTTACCCGGGATCCTTCGGCCGGATTTTTAACCCAGGCCCCAGGCCCTTCTCAGGTCCCGAGTCAGTCGCCTGCCTGCGTTCCCCGCTCCCATCTCTCTCCCACCAGTCTGCCCTCCCTCTTGCTGCCCACCCCGCCCAGCCCCAATCTCCAGTCCATCCCTTTCTTCCTCCAGTCTCCGTTGGCCCTTTCCCCGACGCTTTCTTGAGCTCCACCCTTACGCCTTGCTCATTCAAAGGTTGTCAGCGACATGAGGCCCACCCCAGGAAGCCCCACTCCTGGGAACCAGTTGTCTCCAACCTTGGGCTAGGAGGGTGAGATCTGGGCGTTGTTTTCCCCAGAGGTTTGGCCCTGAGAAGTGCAGATCTTCTGGAAGGTGGGAAGTGGTGGTTGTAGGGAGAAAAATCGAGAATGGTTTTCGCCTAGATGGGAAATTATCCTGGGTAGTAGAGGAAGTATATCTGAATTGGAGGGCAACTTGAACGTGGGGTGCTAGGCGGTGAGAGGATGGTGTTAGCAGTGAAGATTTTGCTTCTGGGCTTGGGTTGTGGCTTCTTGGAAAAGCTCATTTTCTTTGGATTTTCATCACTGACAATTCTTTTGGCAGTGTTGATGCTTTTTCGATTTCTGCCAGATGCTATGTCATGATCATTTTACTTGGGATTTTTCACATCTTATCTCCCCTTTTTCTCCTTTCAACGTGAAACAGCATTTGGTTCTCATGGTGGTGCAAACAGGAATTACTGGGGAAATGTTAATTCATTTCTTCTTGAGTATTTTCTAGTTATATATTTAAGATGCATGTGAGAGAAGGATTAGAATAAAGAACATCTTTGTAGGGTTTTCTTTGGGTTATGGAGTAGAAATAGATTGATTCATCTAGTTATCTAAATTAGATTTTTATAGCATTTGGGCTAAATGATTCTTTTATGTCTAATATTTTGTATCTGATGAGTGAAATTGTACTGTATTGGCCTTGGTTCCGTTGTCGCTGTACTATATGTATTAGGCACAGTGCAAGATTCTAATTTTGTGCTGGTTGTTTAAGGTTGTAGTAATAGCAGTTTTATGTTGTATTGTACAAATTCAGCAGTAATTCAGAGATTTATCACCTTTCATTTGTTTTTCCCACACTTTTCATGACTATCTTTAAGATTCAGACATTGAAAGTTTAATTCTTTTTTTTTTTTTTTTTTTTGTCTTTTTCCTTTTTATCGGTACCGGGGATCGAACTCACGACTGCCTGCTTGCAAGGCAGGCGCTTATGCCGTTGAGCTAAACCTCCAGCCCCTGAAAGTTTAATTTTAAGTCATCAAACATTGACTGTCTACAGTGTGTCTTAGGTGAGGTTATAGAAAAAGTTATTGATTTTGACTGGAAGACATGAGCTTTTATCACTATTTTGAAGTAGTTATATTAATTTACCTGTCATTATAGTAGAGTAACACTTGCAAAATCGACCCCAGTTTGAACTGGGAAATAGTTTTCTTTCTTCATACTTAGATTATGTTCCCTATTCCCCTCACCCCACTTTTTTTTTCTTTTTTCTTTTGCAATACCGGGGATTGAACCCAGCGCCTTCCCACTAAACTACATGCTAGCCTTTTTTTTTTTTTTTTTTTTGGTTAAAAAGTTTTACAAACTTGTTAAATTGCCCATATTTTCTCCTCTTGTCTCAGACTCCCCCAGAGTACTGGGACTACAGGTGTGCACTCCACATCCTGGCTTACTAAGATGGGAAAGATACAGTCTGATTTCTTTTTTTTTTTTTTTTTTTGGGTGGTGCTGGAGATGAACCCAGGGCCTTGCACATGCTAGGCAAGTGCTCTATCACTGATTTATAACCCAGCCATGTTTTGGCTTGTGGATTTTCCTTGGATGAGTATGAACTTGTTTCCTGAGGTGAGTACTTGGAACCTGTGGAGTTGATCCTGGACCAGGTTTTATGTGGCAATTTTAGGACAGTGTCCTACATAAAATATAGCTTATTAGTCATCACTGATAAGTAGACTCTAAAATGCTTATTGTGCTGCCAGGTGTGGTGGTGCATGGACCAGTAATTCCAGACCAGGGAGGAAACTGAGGCAGAAGGATAGTAAGTTCAAGGCCAGTATGCACTACATAGGAAGACCCTATATCAAAAGCACACCTCCCCCAAAAATTGCTTATTGTGCACTCTGAGTTTATTACTGCCTTATGTTGTGATGTAGAGCCTTTTAGTTTGCATAAAAATCCATAAATTCTGTCTAGAAAATTTTTTACATAAAGAGCTGTTAAGTATCTACATGTTTCCTTTGAGTTTTATGAGTATTTATGTTCCAATCATATTGCAGAGTTTTATGGCTTTTTATTTCTTTAAGCCTTTGCTAACTGCTTCCCTTAACTGTCTCACCCCTTCCTTTCCCCTAGATCATTCCCAAAATCTTGTTGGATTTTTTTATAGATATGTTTTTGTTTTTGTTTTCTTTGAGACAGGGTCTTGCTCTGTAGTTCAGGCTGGCCTTAAACTCACTGTGTGGTACAGACTGGTATCAAACTCACAGAGACCCACCTGGCTTAGCTTCCCAAGTGCTGGACTTGCTCCACCACGCTCAGTACTTACATATATATATATAATTTTTTTGTTTTGCTTTTGGTACTGAGAATCAAGCTTAGGGTCCTAAGCTTGCCAGGGAGTATATTTTTAGAATAGATTTACACTTATATCTCTTAACCTAGTTTCCCTATTTATTAATCTATTAGAATGGTACATTTGTTACAGTTAATGAACCAATATTGTTATGTTATTAACTAAATTTAATAGTTCATACACATTTCCTTAGTTTTTTACCTGATGTCCTTTTTTTGTTTCAGCTTTTCATTCAGAATGGCACATTACATTAAATTGTCATGTCTCCTTAGGCTTCACTTAGTGTTTCTTTAGGATTGTGTTTACATGCTTTTTGTTCTGTCTAACCATGAGGTCAATTTTCTTTTGAGGTTACTATTATATATTGGTTAAGTAGTATCGTTCGGTAGCTTTGACAGTGGAAGATTGATCTTTGTTTTTATGGTCAGTGTCTAATTTTTTTATGCATTAGCAAAGGTCTGTAGAATCAATGTCATGTTGATGTGGTTCTTCCTGAATTATTTATTTTTAGGTTTATTAGAATTCCACAATTCAGGTTTCAACGACCAATCTGTGGTAGTCTTATTTCCGCAGTAATGTGTACCACATTTATAATTATCTTTTTATGTGTTTGTTTTTTCTGTTTCTCACAGCAGAGTGTGAGTCCCATGAAGATTAAAACATTTTTTTTCCTTTTCTTTTTTTGTTCATTGTATCCCCATTGCTTAACATAGTGTCCAGCTTGCAGTAATTGTTTAAAGAACTACTTGGTCAATGATGGTTGAATCTTATAGTAACCAAAGCTAGTAGCTTATGTTATACTTTTTGCTGTGAAGAGATCTACATTTTTTTCCTAATGCAATTAATAGTTTAATAATGTAATTTTATGCTTCTATCACTTGGTTGTATACGGGGATACACCAGATACTAGAGAATAGAGTAGAGAAACCAAAAATTTGGTGGCTTAACCCTCTCCCCCCCAAAAATTACTAGCATTTTATATTCCTCTTTGTTTTTGTTTTTTGAGACAGGGTCTCACTACGTAGTTCAGGCCATCTTTGAACTCACTGTGTAGCCAAGGCTGTCCTCAAACTTGGCAGGAATCTTCAGGAATCTTCCTGCCTCAACCGCTCTAGTTTTGGGACTACAGGTGTCTGCCAACACACCCAGTCTTTAAATGTATTTTTTGGAGCAAGCATTTTTCTTGCTTTGTTAAAGCCGTTAAATTATTTGTTAGTAGTGTAACATGTAAAAGTATGTCAAATTGTACTAAAGATGTATGTTCATGGTACTGATTTGGAGTTAGGCCGTCTAAACTTTGCTTAGGTTATCAGAAATTTAAGGTGTCATGCTGGGCTGGGGATATATCTCAGCCACATAGTGTCTGCCTGGCAAGTGCAAGGCTAGTACCAAAAAAAAAAAAAAAAAAAAAAAAAGGTGTTATGCTGTATAATGAAGATGAATTGTTTCGGTATATGAAATAGATTGAGTTAATAACAACAGCTTTGTAATCTTCATTCAAATCTCTCATGATTTGTATTTCAGTATTATACCTGCCCTAATAGAGCAGTGTCAGATATGTAATTCTTTTTTTTGTCTTTTTCCTTTTTATCGGTACCGGGGATTGAACTCACGACTGCTTGCTTACAAGGCAGGCGCTTATGCCGCTGAGCTAAATCCCCAGCCCCTGAGATACATAATTCTTGAAGTTTCCTTAAGGAAGTTCGTTTGCTATTACCTATGTTTGTTTTAAACTGCAGAAACACTTTTAAGAATATCATTAAGTGGTTTATAGTAGATTTTACTAATCTTTAGTACATCTTTAGTACAATTTGACATACTTTTACATTAGTGTTGTCAATTAGAAGCATATACCTAGTACTGCTTCCTGTATGCTAGATAGATAAAAAGTGTCTTGAGTCTTAAAATAGTACTTAATAGTTTGTACTGTACTCTAGGTCATTTTGTTTTGTATTGTGTTATATATTAATGTATATACATCCCCTTTGAATTTCTTATGGATAGACTATGAAACCACTCAACTAGTAGGTTTTTTTTTTTTGTACTGGGGATTGAACATTCATGACTTTGCACTTGCCAGGCAGGTACTGTGCCACTGAGCTATATCCCCAAAACTGGTAGTTTTTAATAAACATTTGATAAATAAGCAGTTTCCATGTGGCAGGCTATCTTTTAAAAAGTATATTTATTAGCTAATTGAACCTTTACCGTAACTATATAGATCCTATTATCTTTATTTTGTAGATAA